CCAAAATGGAGCATATTACTTCAACTTCATGTACAACATCTTGTTGTGAAGAGTCCTTTATGGATAATAAACCTGCATCATTTCCTATGATCATTAATTCATCGTCATCCTATCGTATCCTTCAAAGACGTCGAAATCAACGAAAATTAAGACATAGGCGTAGAATTACAACTAATACATATGCATTAAATCAATTACCAGTACAAATTACAAACGATCCCATCGTGTATCAATTTTTTAATGGATATATCTTCTAATAAAGATGATTAAATTATGACGACATCCACCTAACAAAATTTAGTAAGACATTTAATTATTTCAATAACAATTGTTTATTTTGGAGAAAAAATAAATAGCTGGAAAAAGTAATTATTTTATATGTGCAAACTGACTATGTAAATGAAAAGTTACTTCACTCAACATTTTCCATTTTTTTTTTTCGTGAGAAGGAAAAGAAAAATTGTCGAAAGTTAAATTTAGTTGTTTAAAAAGTCTTTTATGAGGAATAGTGAAAAACTTAACATATTTTTAAAGATCATGCATACTTGTGCATTAATTTAATGATTACAAGATTTTTTTTTTTAGATGATTTTTTCTGTTAATATCCAAACTTCCCTAGTTAAGTAGCTTAGTATCGTCCGTGTTGTGTGCATTATATTGAAAAAATATGTGATATAATTAATATATTTAATAATAAATTGAATACAACTCCTTTAATATAATAGTAAATTGTTCTCTACATAAAGATTAACACGTGAGCTATACATACATCTGCGTTATTATGCGATCCCAATTCATATTATCGAAAGCCATCGTTGACAAAAGGTTGATGTCCAGACAACATGTCGGATATATGAAAAAACATCATTGATGACCATGATCACAAATTTTAATCTGTGTAAAATTATCGATCTTACCATTTAGTTATCACATGATAGTTGTTACTAAAAATGGCTATAAAAATTTAAAAATTGATCCTGAAAATTGGTAAATTTACCATTAATAAAGATTTACAGACATCTTTTAATAAGCGTAAATTCACATGATCATCATTAATGTATTGTGATTTTGTTTACATCACGCGTGTTAAAAATAATGTGACATTATTATTGTCACACAATATACTAGAATATAATTGGTATTTAAACGACAAGAATCCAAAATGGAGTGTACGCTAATGCATAATTAGAATCACGTGATAAACTTTCTTTTTCTTTATATTTAACGTTAAAAATGCTTTTTTCTTCCAGCCAAAATTTCAAGTGTTTCATATCAGTTCGTCTAACGTATGACGGAAGTTGAAGGTAATGATTACAAAACTTATACACGAACCCGTATATGGATCTCATATGCATTAATATATTTTCAATACTTCTTTCCTTAAATTCCTTCAATGAATGAAAAAAAATACCACGTTTTTACATTTCTGGGTTAATTGATTTGTACATTTGATTTTTTTTTAATAACCATAATGCTTCAGATAAAACATATTCTAGCATACCCTACCCATAGCTTTGGTAGACCTTTAAAAAATAACAAACAAACTTTTACTTTTTATTTTGGAAGTTTTGAAAGAAGCAAATATATATATATATATATATCATATATATCTGTTTCAACACAACTTAAGCCCGTCCTCAATACTTTTTGGTTCTAATGATTCATTCAATATTAATAACTTTAGATTGAACCCTAATTTATTTGTTATTTTATTTCTTATATTGTGTATTTCATAACGATCTACACTAGATACTTTTTCAGCATATCATGATATCAATTCAAAATTTCCGAACCTGCTAAAATATTTTAATGTGATGTGACGCAGCATATTTATAGTGATTACCCAGTGTAACCTGAAAAAAATGTCCCGAAATGGCCGGCATTACGCAACTTGGCTGAAATTAAGTGTGGCGCTCATGTGACGGATAGTGCGTGACGAGTAGGATGTTGTTCCTAGATACTTATGAAAAATGGAGGGCGTGACGCCGGTGATGAAAATTCTCACGTGATTTTTCGTGCCATTTTTTTTCAGGTTATGCTGGGAAAATCATTTGCAGTAGATTTTATACACATGCATAAGCATATTTGAAAAACCTTAGACATATATGTACATGAGCAGACCCATGAACTAAATCGTAAAAAAGCCTTCATTGCAATTAAAGCCCGGAAATTTATACAATAAAATTTAGTTATTAACTTTAAATGAATAAATATTTTTAAATCTCTTTGAGGATTTTCTATGTTTAACCATAAAAATAATTGTAATCAGGTTACACAACTTCAAAACTAATTGCACAAATATCAAAATATTATGTGATTATACATTAATTTCACATGTAAATATAATTATGTTATGTCAATAAGGCATAAAAAGCATCATTAATAAAGTGATGTTCATTTTAAACAGTATTTATAGTAAATTAAAAAATATGTGTACGACTGGATACATCTAATCTATGCTTTGTTTAAATTTTGTGATTTTGAGACGTTTCACGATCCTATTTATAGTTTATGGTACTTTTATAATAATGTAATATACTTACACAGTATATACGTATTTTTAAAAGTTTTTTTAAAAAAATAAATTAATAAAAAACCTAATTTGGAATTGAAGTAAATAGCATTTTAAGATAATTTTTCTTACTTCTCTCGGGATCTAAATTTCTCGTAAAAAGTAGCTTTTCGGTTAAATGCGGTCGATAATATGTATGTATAACCTAAATAAATAAAAAACCAATTTTGGAATTGAAGTAAATAGCATTTTAAGATAATTTTCCTCGGAATATAAATTAGCTTTTTGGGGATCAACATTAAATGCGGTCGATAATAGTATGTATGAATTAACCCAAATAAATAAAAAAGTTTTTTGAGGCTAAATAAGAATAATTATGTTGTTATAGTGTGTAAGATTGGTCTCGGCTTTTTTGTTTCAGGTTACAATAAAAAAAAATGATATGTTATCAATAAAGCTTCTTAATTCACGAAAATAAAGAAATTTATTTGATTTATGTAAGTATTTATTGTTGAACCGAGTTCTTTCAAAACAATCAATCGGTACTAACTAGTAAGTTTATATAAAGGAATACTACAAATATAATACGATAGATGCAACAATTTGATTAAATATTATTTTAATATGTTATTACAATAACCCTCTTTTTGGGAATTATTTGGGAGATGGCCAAAATTAGATTAGATGGAAGATCGGTTAATCATTTAGCAGTGTGTAATATAATTACGTGAAGCGTACAAATAATACCTCATGGCTCATGATAATTGGGCCAGCTCATTTTATGAGTATGGGGCGTCGCACTCCACTCACCGGACTCTACAACTATTCGTAGCACTCCAGGTAATTTAACGGGAGGGGGACAAATTTTAAATGCTACTGTTTAATCTCCGGTATATGTATACCTAAAGTTGGCTGTCGAAAGCATTTTTGGCCAATTTTAATAATAAATAATTTCAGCAATTTTTCTACGTCGAAATGCAGAAATTAAAATTGCATTTCTGCACTACGGCATTGGCCTTTTCTTTTTCGGCAAGCAATTTTAGATATACCCGAATCAAATCATTTTTTTTTCCGAATTAATAATTATTTTATAGTTTCATTATAGATTAATAAGTTACGCCGAATGGCCGCCATAGTATTAATTTTTTTTTGTTTGTTTCATTGTTTGTTTGTTTACTATAACTTGATTTGCTGAACTTTAAACAGATCAAGAAAAATCTTGTTTCACCACAAACCTTTTTATAGTTAATTTTTTTTTGATAACGCAAAATTTAATCAATATCCATCTCAAATTAATATATTGTGTATCCTTTGGCTAATTTATATTTTCTGTTTTAATTAATTGCTAGTCTATTATTTGGTTCATCATACGTCAGCAACACATGCCACCACATACAGTGCTATGCATTATTAATTCAGTAGAATATTTAGACATTTTGTAATCCAATCGTCAGATACTAAAATAGGTAATAACTGGCATTATCTAAAATTGCCATACTCTATACCTTACCCCTTAATATATATTCCGCACTATTGCATTACCTAATTTAAAATTTTACCCGAATATTTCCCCGTTATAATCTCATAGCCACATGGGATATAAGCTAATTTTTAATTCCGATTAATCCTTTTTCACAAATATAGCATTTATTCAAGTTGGTTTCTTTCTTTGGATAATTGTTTTTTCGGTTTAAAAATATTATCAAACACACTTCATATCCTGCATTTCACATTCCGTACTCCATACTCCGCACTCCGTTCAATTTTTTTAGATGAAAAAAAGTAATTGAATAGAGCTTATAGTATAGGTATCATACCAAGATACAAAGATACAATGCAACGATTACCAGTAGAAGTAGCTGAACATCTATTAAACTAATTAAGGTACAATTTTAAAAGATTAGTTTCTTTCATTTGATTGATTATAAACAAAAAAATCCTTTATTAGTATGCTGTGAAAATAAAAATTGAATATTATTAATTTTTTTTAGTAGTTTTAAAAAAAATCAAATGAAGGTGTCGGGAAATTGAGAAAAAATAATGGATAATTTATAGTACAAATATATTAATAGTATCTAATTATACATAGTATCTAATTATATATAATAAATAAAAGAATCTCTTCATTTATTTTTTTTAAAATTGTATAGTATATATCTATTTTTATATCATCTGTTTCTTGCACGGAAAATATTTCCTTTTTTTATCTTTAAGAAAATGAAACTCTGCAATACGTAAACACTACAGAAAAACGGAGATTATGACTAATATAAAGCTACCACGAAATTCCACGATTCACTGTTGACTCCGCATTCCGTTTTCCGAGAAAAAACAATCAGGACGCATATTTCGTCACGTGATCATAGAAAAATAATATAAAATAACTCGAATAAACCCCATCTAAATTCCTTTTTATCATCTACAAAAGATAGTTTTTTTGAAAAGCCTTCTTATATAGAAATATAATTCTTTGATAAATAAGAAAAAAATGGACAAACCAACAGTCACGGTTTGCAAACAACTTGATGTACATCAAGAAAAACTACATGAAGGTACTTCACATTCCAAACTACTACCTCAAAGACCCGAACAACAAGAAGAAGAAACTGCTTTACTCACGGAAGAAAAACATTTAATTCATATGAAGGACGATTTATGGAGGCGTAGATGTCTATCAATTGGTTGCGGAAGACAAATGGAAAAACTGTCTCCTGTGTCATCATATATACCAGATCGTATTCGTAAACGTCGAATTCAACGACAACTAAAAAGTAATACATCTAGATTAAATTTTATTAGACAAATTAGACAGTTGCCAAGACAAAACACAACCACCAATTTATTCGAATTCCAATTCTTTAATGGAACTGATTTCTATTAAAGTTTTTACTGAATAATTATATTTAATAGACCTTTTACTTGTGTCTATTCGAATTATTTTTTAATTTCGTAGCTTAATAATTAGTGTTTATTCGATTTTTTTTTAATTTCGTAGCTTTTACTCCCTTCTAATAGATTCTTCACTTGTGTTTATTCGATTTTTTTCAATTTCGTAACATAATAACTACATTTAACTCCCTTCTAATAGACTCTTCACTTGTGTATATATTTTTTTTAAAAAAATTTCGTAGCTTAATAATTACGCTTAATTCTCTTCCGATATCGTTCCTTCGCATTCAAAAATTTCGCAAATCCTTAAATTTAATTTAGATGGCAAAATCTGTTTAATGATAAAGTTCGAATATCTTAAATATAATTGGAACTTTATAAAAAAATACTCGTAGTTAATTCAAACGGCAAATGTACAACCATTTTGAATACAAATTCTTATTTATTACTTTATACCCTTTCACATTTTAAAAAAAAAAATTTTCAAGATCTTTTATTAACCCTAGTTTTACAAACATAAATTATTTTTTTTTTAGAGAAGATAAGAAGGAATCAAAGGAATTTATTTCTCACAAAATTAAATAAAATTTATTAATTTTTTTTTCGTTGAGGTTAATCAAAATTATTAAATCAAACTATCAGAATTAATAAAAAATAGTATAAAAAAGCATGAGATAAGTTTTTTTTTTTTACCTAAAAACTAAATTGACAATTTGAAAATTTCTAAGGAAAAAAAAAATAAAGTACACTTACATTACGCCATGTGTGCATGTGGTGACCAGTCAAAATCGTTGTGTTACATATAAGAGGATGTCGTGCAGAGGTCAAAACCCCCATTATTATTGTTATTGATAAAAAAGGAAAATCCCCCTATTATTATTGTTATTGATAAAAGGAAAAAAAACCCTATTATTATTGTTATTGATAAAAAAGGAAAAAACTTATTATTTATTTTTATGAAGTTTGCAACAATAACACTTTAATAATGGAAAGTGAAATGACCCTGGATTTTATACTAGTTTCTTCGAATTTGAAAAGTATTTATTATTATTAGTGCTCTAAAAAGGAAAATGCTGTAAAATTTTTTGTTATCACAACTATATATATTTCGGGAGTCTGCGCCACTAGTAAAATGAAGGGCATGTGTCGCGATCACGTGTATATCACGTGATGAATAAGGTGACCCGGTGATCGCCTCCCCCTGCTTTGATCGGTGCCCTGCAATATACACCAATAAAAACGGTACGCGCTGATCACGGGACAAATTGTGGCATACCGACATTTATATTATTTTACTTTAATAGCACTATAAATTTTAAATAACAAACTATTGATACTCAAATTAGAGCCTTTAGAACCAAAATTTTTCTTTAATCATTATCAAACATATGAAATATTGTATCAAAGAAAAGTTTTTGGAATATCATCGGCGTAATGCGTAAGGTGTAACGAAGAAACGGAATCGTGGGACCACATATGGAATTGTTTCTTCAGATAAAAGTGTGGGAATATGCGGTTAATGTAATTTTATATCATAGTGGCTTTAAAATCAAGATTGTTTCCTTTAAAAAATTTATTATATGAAATAACACGTAGACTTATTAATTTCAAGATTTAGATGATTCAAGTATGTTGAAGATATGTGACTTATCTCTGATGAATATATATGATAAAATTTGGAAAATATAATGTGAGGAAGTAGTAAGTTTTGAGAAGTCTCAAGGTATTGGTAAATTGGATAAAAGAAAAAGGGTTTCTAGATCGGAAGAATGATAAAATAGAGGAGTCAGGTATATTAAAAAAATTAAATTAGAAAACTTTAGAAATGGTGTAATGAGTACTCAGATTAATGAACTAGATGTTAGTAAACATAAATGGAATGTACAATATATGACTAATTTAAGGTAGTAGGTAAAGGTACTACAACGTCACTGTATTTGAGACGGTTAAACAATTTAAAAATATTAAAAATTTTATATTTTAGATAATAGATACCGGTTGTGCTAATGTTCTGTAACATCAAAATTTAAAGTATAACACAAAGAACCAAGTGCGCACATCTCAGTTTCAACATGTGAAATTGTCGTTACTGCTAATTTTTGAGAATTAGCCTAAACAAAAATTTGTTAATGGTAAAAGTACTTGCATTTCTTTTTTTCGTTTTGCACTAATAAAAGATTGATTACACCTATACGACTCGCCCCTAAAACATGTGTAATGTACTGTACTTTGTATGGAGTGAGTTAAGTTAATTACCAAACTCAAGATGTATTTTATAAATTTTGTATGTTCTTATCTTATAAATAATAAAGTATTTCGTTATATAAAAAAAAAAAAAATAACAAACTATATTGGTTTACAAATTTTTAAGAACACTAGCTATCAAACCGGGGCTACTCCCGGTCCTACGGGGGCTAGTAAACTAATATTTTATTCTATTATATAAATGAAGTTTTAAATGTAAAAATATTTACAAGTATGCAATCTGGGTAGAATCAGTGAAAGAGTGTTCTTGAGTACGATTACCTCCGGGAATCTACTTGAAAGAGCCATTCTTTCATATAGCATGATTTATTTAAGTTACCTAAATTTTAGCATTAAACTAGCATTCACCTGTTGCTTCGCACCAGGACTGTTCTAACATGATCTAATTTAGTTAATTAAATTCTTAACAAAAATGATGAATTAACGTGTATCACACATAATATTTAAAATAAACAATTTGCCATGCAATCATAGAAACTCTTATTTTAATAGTCACGCATGTGATTTATAATTTAAAATATAATACTTTTTTTACTAAAACCTTTCTAGACAAAATAAAAGAAATATAAAAGAACGAATAAAGAAATGCAAACAATTTAAAGAGTAAAATTAAGCAAAAATGCCATAGCTTAAAAATAAGATATACTCAAAGATCAAGGGTAGGATCATCAAAGGCTAAAGAGAGGGATATACCAAAGGCATAAATACAAAGAAATGAAAAATAAAAATAAAGCTGAAATAATCAAATGATGATTTATATGTTTTAAGCCAAAATACTGAGAAGAAAAAAACAAAAAAAGATATCCAAGATCACTACGTTGAAACCATTATGACATTTATGCAAAAAATCTTGAAAGGAACAAATATAGTCGCATTAGTGATTAATGAATCAGAAAATAAATTTGCTTCAAAAGTGGATTTGTCAATGATATTTTGAGATATTTGAGTCTTGTCATTAAACAAGTTATAAATTAGGATTTGACAATAATAATTTCGAATTATGTGAATTGAACATACAGATATAAGATGATGAGTTACTAATTATAGGATAGAATTAATGCAACAATTTTATCATTCATATCCTTTAAAGATATGAGAAATCACGTGATAATTCATATGATCAATATGGCAAATAGGAACACGAATTTTCTGCATGATGTAAACTTTTTAAGGTTGTAAATATTGTCCAGTTCGTAGCTTTCTAAATATATAAATTTTACAAGTATTACAAAGTTTTATTAAACAAAATACTTTTTGAGAAACCTTCGTATGAATAAGAAAAACTTTGGTAACTCTTATGGTATATAATATATACGCCTTATACGGTAGACTTATTTTTTATAAAGTTTCTATTGTGGTAAAGTTTTACTTTTATAAACCATTTCTTTATAGTTAATATTATGATTTTAAAAATACTAAGAACTACTTATTTAATAAAATTTTTACGCGTCTAATGAATGATTATCGGCGATGTTATGAACCTTCAATAACTTTTTCCTTTGTTCTGTCTTCATAAGTAGACATTGGTATTTCTATAATTATCACACTTTAAGTGAAGAGAAGTGATATTTTTACTGGTACTGACAACAATTAGATGTTATGCTTTATTTTTCTCATTGAATAATAATTTGTGAAGATTTATTATTAAAACTATAGATAACTAAATAACTGTTAATATGTAAAATTTGTAAGTATATAGATAATAGATTTAGACATTGTCAGGAATGTGGGCGTCTAGATCTTAGTCCCACCACTTTACATATAATTGAACTAACTAACTTTATTAAAAAAATTATTAAATAATATAGAGAGTAAGTTATTTATTTAATTCTTTTAATACAGGGATTTAATAATAAATCCTTAATGAAAAATTTATAAAGAACCCTAAGGAATCTCTTTCCCATTTACAAAAAATCCTTAAGGATCCTAAGTCCAAGAAACTTACTGATGTTACTATTTTGACCTGGGAATAGGAAAATAATATACTTAAAGACCTCACTAATGATGCTTCCAAACTGAATCTTTGGTGTGTTGATGTTGAAGAAGTTGTTGATGTTTTTGATATTGTACAGAAACTTGGAGGAAAAAAAATGAGTCCTCATTATCTGTTTAGAAAATATTTTAATGGTCAACTTCCAGAGGAGAAAATCCATATTATTATACAACCACTACTGCCCACTACTGGTAAGTGTCTCTCAATGGTTTACCTCTTGAACAAGGGAATGTTTGAGTTTGTTTCTGAACCTTTTTTTCCCATAATATTGCCTACTATTAATAGAAATCCTACTAAGAAACATCGCATAGATAATTGAGTGGACTATACTGCTAAATATGAACTTGTGGACTTTCCACCTATTTTATCCACAATGCTTGCAAGTGAAAAGTTCAAACCTGCATCCTGCAATAAATTTGAGAAATTATTGAAAGATTTACAAATTAGCCAAAATATTATAACCTTCACTTGATCAAGAGACCAAGAGTTATGGAGAAGACTATTGGGGCAGGTCATTCTTAATAATGGAGCAAATAATAGAAATATGGAATATGCTTGCAAGTGACAGTGGTAGATCAATCAAAAGAGTTTTATCTGGTCCCATGGGTGTTGGCAAGTCATATCTTGCATTGTTTCTTGCTGCAAAAGTATTTGCCAAAGGATGGCTTTTACTTTATGTTTTAGATGCAAATGAATTAGCAAAACCAGATGATGCTAAAATAGCAAAAGAAATCTATATACCTAAATAAAGATATTTTAACTAAGAATCATTTTAATTAATTGATGTCTCTATTAAGCCATGCTGAGGAAATGAAGAAAAGGTGTATCTGCTTCAAACATAATGGATGATTTATTCAAGCAACTAAAAGAAAAAACACTTATAGTTATTGATGAATATGGAATACTCTTTGATCCTAATCCTTCTGTCAATACCTTATAAACAAATATAACTTAATCCCTAATACATCTAAACACATGAAATCAAGAAAGGAAAGGTTACCATATATATGTAGTGACAGATACAGCATATGTAAATTTGAAATAGTATAACTTAAAGATGGCATGATGAATTGGATAATCTTTGTAACTCCTTTATTCTCTGCTACATTTGATAACTGTTAAGTATGAACAATGTTCTATCAAGTACTGTAACAGTTAGAGATAAAGTGATGGAGATTACAAATTGTATTACACAAGAGCTTATGAAACTTTCAAATGGCCTTAATGATAATTGTGATAATTCCAAGTATCTTGATACTAGTAAGATTATTAACTTCTTAATTCAATTTGGACAAGATCGAAACCTTGATTTCTTTATTAATGTTGCATAGAATTATTACACACACCATCTTAATCCATTCCAACAATATTTCACATGACATGCTCTTGCATCAATATTTCTATCATAAAAAGAAGGTGATATTCATCAGGAGATTATATGAGGCGAATATTAGCGTAAAGTTGTCAAATATGTATAATCTCTGGAAATTTACACCCCGTAAAAATCTATAAATATACGGTTTTGCATAAATTACACTTGAAACATAGTTATTTAATAAGGCATATCTTAAAAAGTGCCATAAATTATTCATGAATAGGTAGTTTCGAAGTTTTACATTCTGAAATAATTTCTTAAATATTCGATTTTAAGTAATCTACACATAAAAATAATTTGAAAAATACTTTATTGATTTTGTATCTTAAAAAGTTTCGTAAATTCTACGCTAGTAGATAGTTTCAGTAATTTACACTTTAGAAATTTGCATAAATACATGATTTTGTATAACCCACACATGAAAATGTAGCTTAAAATATTTTGAATAAGTTTGTATCTAAAAAAGTTATGTAAAATTTACATAAATAGTTAGCTTCAGTATTATACACTTTAAAAATTTATGTAAATATGTAATTTAAATAAACTGCATGTCAAAATACAGTTTAAAAATATTTTAAAAACTTTGTATCTGAAGAAAGTTGTGTAAGAATTTGCACAAATACTAAAATCATATAAAATAAATACGAAGGTTTAAGCCTGTCTCTTATACACATCTAGATGTGTATAAGAGACAGGTTTAAGCATGTCTTTATTCTAAGATAAATATGAAATATAATGTTAATAATTAAAAAAAAGAATAAATAGTGTAGTGGTTAGGTAACGAGACTTTATATATTAATAATTTATCTTGAGGTATTCAGTTCGACTCTTAGTGTAGGCAAAAATAAAAATATGATTAATATCGAATTTGACTCTTAGTGTAAGTAAAAAAAACAACAAAATTGTAAGAAAATATCAGAAAAATACACGAGGGGTTATAAAGAGGAAAATTTTATGTTAAGGTAACTACATTATTTTTTACTACTAAAAAACTACGTCATTTTCAAAAATACACTATTTTATACTATTGAAAATTTCTCTAAAATTTTCACACTCGTATATCGTCGCAAGTGATGTAGATTTGCGTAGTTTTTCACATGTGTATTATTTTGTAGATCTACGCTTATTTTATCCTCCTGATGTTGATTGTGACTGTAAAGGATTTGACTGTCAGTTTGTTGATCTAGTATAGGGTTAAATTTTGAGGCTGTGTTCAACATCATCTTTTGCCTGGCATCTAAAATTCTCACCTTCAATTAATAAGTCAATACCACTCCCCCAACATAAATCCATGTGCATTATAAAATAGAAAAAGTGAACAAAGTATTAAGAATTAAGTAAAAATAAGAAATAAATAAAAAAAATAAAGAGAAAGATAAATAAAGAAAACATAATCTAGATTAATATTTTCAAAACTTAATAAATTTAGACCAGACCATTACAGTATGTTAAAAATGCAATAATATACTAAATTAAATATTTTAAATCTTATTATATATAGCTAGTTGTTACTTCATTAGCAGATTTCTATAAAATGCAATGAAAATTAATTACTAATATAACAAATTCCTTTAACTTATTAGGTTTAGATTTTGTTATTTTAACACACTCATACTGGCCTATTGTTATTAAAAAAATCTTGAAATTTTTTTATATATCTCATTTAAACATAATCTATTTCATAAAAAAGTTTTATTAACTTAATTAAGTAATCTATTACCTATTAGTAGTATTAGTATTCCTGGAAAAATCTTACTAATAAATAATTATTAACTTTATAAGTTAATAATTGTTATTGCCAATTTATTGTTATTAAAAAAATCACAAAAATTTTATTAAATCAATCAAATACTCCAGAGCTAGAATAGTTTATAGCTTTTCCTTTTGAAATTGTTTTCATATATGTATATTTAATGTTTCACCTATACTGTAGTTGTCAAATTTGTTTTTTATCTTCCTTTGACCAATATGTATATGATCTTTTTAATACAGATTCTTCATTTTCATTTTCAAGTATTTTATCTAGATTTTTAAGTTCATTTGCACCAAAATTATTTTTCTGATTACTATTAATAAGTTCAATTAATAAGATATACTTTAATTCTAAAATAATATTATTATCCTTTACTTAAAATAAAAATATTTGAATAACTAAAATGACCTGAGCCATTTAGCTTTTTACCATTCATTACTAATGAAAGTTCTGAAATACAATACTTTAATGGAATAAGTTTTTTTATAATTGCTTGAAGTACAGGTTCATTTGCTGATGATAGAGACATTTGTGATCTTGAAGAGAAGCCTTTAAGAATTTTAATAAAAGGTATGATATTATCTGCAATAAAACTTTCATATATATACTTGAGGCAACAAGAAGTGCATTATCATCAACTTGTCTAAATACTAGGTTATTCTTATATTTTGTCTTGGAATTTGGCTTTGTTTTTTCTTGTATTCTAGTAAATAATTATCAAATATTATTTAATAATATATTTATAAATACAAAAGAAATATTACAATTTACTACCATTAGATGAATTTCTGTATCAGCATTATCATCTCTTACGCTTTTCAGTTCTCCTTTTTGTTTAACTTAAAGAGTAATTTTTTCAGTATTCTTATTAGTTTTATTTGAATCTGATTGTGAAACTTCAGATGTTTCATTTGAGTAAGATACAACAATTTTCTTTTTTATTATGTTCCCTAATAATTCTTTGCCAAAATTTTTGAAATAATTTGTAAAACAATATTGTTCTTCATTTGCCTATTATAAGAAAGAAATTATTAGTAGTGCATTAAAATTTATTTAGTGATAAAAGAAGGTACATAGCCAATTCCTCCTCCAGAATTAGCAGACTTGTATCAACTACAAAATTAGGGTGCCCAAAATGAGATAATGGATTGGTTACCAAAGATGTCAAGATCAGTAATTCTCCTAAGTCAAAACGCATCCAACTTAGGAGTTACCCTAACGCTGCAAAATAAAATAACACACCTTATTTTTTATTACTACATAAGTTTTCTGATTAAACAGAGATTTTGTCTCACTTAGAAAGTGATAAAGCCAAACGGTATCAAGATTATCACACATGTCTGTAGGTGATATTGAAGCAGGATGAAATCACTGTTAAAATTCAAAAATCCACAATATGATGATTTACTACCTCATTCTTTTAAATATTCAATTAGAACTAAATAGAGATTGGTTAATATAACTAAGTATCTTTGAAAAGAAATATTACAAATTAAAGTACTTTTCATTGGATTTACTATTTTGGTCAGGATAATTGCTCATTTTGATTAGATTCAAATTGTTAAGAGAGTAGGGTAAATAATGAATTATTCAAAATGTAGTTGAAGGTAGTTAATAAAGAAAGAAAGAATATAAAATAGTAATTTAATTGAAATAATAAGTGAAATAATGAAAGGTGGGTATATCATTTATATATATATTTGCAGGCTTAATGACATATTGATGGTAATAATTGCATTGATAGTTCATATTAATTATGCAGTATTATTTGAGCTGACACATTGATATAAATAATCCTGAATCAAAAGTTTTTGTAGTCACAGTCACAATAGTGTCACAATTAACATGAAAAAAATATATTATATTATTAAAATACTAAAAGATTTGTTGATTGCCGATCGTACTAAAATAGAAAAGCTTGATTTGAAATGTATTTATATAATCAGCAAATCAATACCAAAGATGGGGGATCAGCATCTTGAAATGGAAATCACTCAAAAACTAATCTTATGTTAACGTTAAGTTAATGTTAATCTATCATGACATGTCAATCATTTCAAGTCATTACAATAACATGACGCGCCACCCACCCATCCATAAGGTCATATTGCACTTTTATAGAATGTCCTTTCTTGCTAAAATATTGTGGGATAAAATTTTTAGCAAATCATCAACAATCAGATAATTAACCTTAAAATAATTAACAAGTGAAATAACTAAGCCAAAAATGATTAACAACCGAAAATGATCATCCTTTACCAAATGATAAAAAAAATTATGTTAATAGCTAGTTAAGAGTAATTTCTCATTTTTTTTTATAGATATGTTAAATATAATAAAAAATTTTGCAAATAAAATGAAAATTATGGTTTAGCTAGAAAAACCTAGTGAGCGAAGTGAGCAAATGAAATTGCATTGTTATAATAAATCACGTGAATATTTAATATACAATCACATGATCTACCAGTAATTTTTCCACCAGTTAAAATTTAGAAATTCTCTTTAAATCTTAAAAATTATATAACATAATTATGATACTGTATGGTAGTATAAACCAACTTAATTAAAAAAAGTTGGAATTATTACAGTTCTAATTATACTATGACTATAGCTCCCTGCCATGTTTAATGTTAACTTGTTTAATATTATTTTTCTAAGGATCAATTATTTTATTTAGATTAAATTCATATGATTGATTTTAACAAAACAAAAGAACACAAATTTTGTAAGTTTGGTATTAAAATAATAATAATGGTGATATGGTATGGTTAAGTTAATAGCAGAAATAATAACTAATATTTTATTTTTTAGCTTATTATGATATGTAGATTATTTATGTTATCCGGAAATTGGTGATCACATAATGATCATATACATATACTTCGCATGTCATTAATCATTAGTCATATTTAATTAAATTCATTAACATTAATATGGGCCGGTGCAAAAAGATTCGTACCTCACTAAAAATAGATAAGATTTACATTAAGGTAAAATATTGCACAACAAAATATAACGGTCTGAAATTCATATATTTGATAAATAATAACTAAAAGTACTTGATTTTTAATTTTCTTTCTTATACCATCCTTTTTTCTTTTTTAAAATAAAATAGAATACTGTTAAAATATAACAAAAAAATAGTAATAATTAATGATTGCAATTACACTTTTTAAATTAATTTTATGAGGATGAGCCATCTGATGTTCATATTACGCAAGCAAACTGCTGAAGCATTGGGAATTACTAAAAGTACAATTAAAATTATGATATCAAATTAAATAAGGTATAGCAGCAGTATATTCATGCTAAAACTTTACATATAAAACGCAAATAAATAATAAACTGTCTAATAATTTACAATATTTCCTTTTTAATAAATGGAAAATATCAGAATTTTTAAAATTAATTTAAATAAACAAAGAAAAAGCATTTATTTTCTTGTTCTAAAATAGCAAAATACTATAATTATCAAAAAAATTTTTATCTCTACTTATTACCATAAACTTTAACTAATTGAAGGTTTTTAAATAGTTTTAAAGTGTAAAATTGTAAGTTTAAGTTCTCATTCAAAATTTTTATCCATTCATGATACATTATTAAATTCGTTTAAAAAAAAAAATTTCATAAGTTTTAATTAAATTTTAGATAATGGCATTTAAATATGTTAAAGAATACTTTTAATATAATATAAAAAATGCACAATTAATCAATAAAAATTTAGTGGTTATAGTAATTTTAATTGATAATACACAATTTAATCTTACACTTATATTTTTATATTTCCCAAACATATATCAATTCAAATTAAATAAATAAACATTTATATAATAAAAATTTTTTTATTGGCATTTTGTTGAAGTACGAATCTTTTTGCACCGGCCCATAGTAATATAATAATTATAAATAATAAAGTTGGCCAAAGTACTTTGTTACATTTTGCTTTTCTGCCATCATTATTCTCATAATAGTAAGCTGGTGCTAACTTGTATATGTTTGTAGTTCGTGTAGTTTCGAGTTGATTTTTATCTCATTTAAACATTTCGTTGATTCTCATTTAATACACGTATTATTGTTAAATTACATCCAGTTTCACTTCCTTTTTCTGTTTTCATTAAAAATTTCATTTAGAATTATTTTTCAAATATATTTTGTGTTAAATTTCGCTCCCTTTTTCTTTTTCATTAATAAATTTTAATAAGAATAATTTTTCACACACATTTACCTCATTTCATAAAATATTTCAATATTACTTTCCATTTCCACATGTTTTTATTATTTAGTTTTCTTTAACAATATTTCTTTAACTTACTGAGGCCTTTTCTTATTTCGGCCAATTGTCTTGACAGGAAAAGAACGGAAGAGTAATTGTTTAGCAGTAAGTATAAACAAATTTATTATGTTCACACAATCATAAAATATTGTCTTTTATTTTTATTTGAAAATATTATCGTGATCGTGATATTGGGAGAATAATACTTCAACTCATTTTATTTTTCGATAAGTTTTATATTTACGTGTCATATTATTATATGTCAGAAAACTAGTTTGGGACCTTGTTTGCCACTGCGCACTTATGAAAAATGATCAATATACACTGTACCTTTAATCGATTAATTAATCAATCAATTCCAACCACTCGTTCCGGCTTACAACAATTTTCATAGTAAAATGCATATTTTTTAATTAATAATTAGGAGTAACAAAAGGTTTAAACCGAATAGCTATTTAAAACTAAGGGTTTATTATTTCTAAAGATGTAAACTATATTTAAGTGAATTTCGATAGACTGGTTCTTCAATAAACTGGATTATAAGCAAAATCTTAATCTATAATAAATAAAATTGTTCTCAATATACTAATATCAAATTCAATAGATTTTAATCAGGCTAAGATTATCATCTGAATGACAATCTTTAGCTGCTGCTTGATCAAATATTGTAGATATAGACTTTGTGGTTTTTTCTGTCCAGTTTAAGTTAAATTATCAGATGATTTTAAGACAGTTTCTTGTTGATGAATATTTCTTGTTTGCTCAAATATTTCAAATGAAGACTAAAAAATGTATCATGTTTTAATTTCTGGATTTAAGGCCTATTATAAAAATTTTATATTTACATTAATAAAATTTTTAATATTCTCTTAATATTAATTTCTGTTTATACCTTAGCGTATAAACATGCTGCATTTGAGCCTAATTTTTCCGACTTTACATGATACTGAAATTTATCTCCATAATATATCCAATAAAGTGGATTGTTTTCCCACATATTTGGTTTCTCGAACTTCCTTTAATTTCATAATTATCAGGAACTCGAAACCTTTTTGACCTTTTGTATATTTAAGACAAATAGCGGGCGAATAATTCCCTTCTTTAATAATATCGTAAGTATAACTTCGTTCAACATCAGAATATTGATTCCTTAGAAGGATTATGAATTTCAACAGTTTCTTTTTATTAATTTGTTGATCTGTCTAAAGTGGTTAAGAAATTTCGTTAGCCTCCATTTTTTTTTAATAAATTTTCTT